TAATAGTTGAGTGCGAGAGTTTACTCCTTCTATTGTAATTTTGTTCTTGATATTGAATAGAAGAATTTTTCAATCCCAACAAGTGGTATCAGAGCGAGGTTGAGTTTCCATACGTTGTTTTCTCATTTCTCAAAAAAAAATCTACAGGTTAGAAAATCGTGATTTTTTAAGTTGCTCGGAATCACGGTCTGATCATACCATCGGGTTCGGCTCGTCGAGGGGAAACTTCTGGTATTTTCCGGCCACCGAAAGGCCACCGGAAGCCACCGCATGTGCCGACACGCGTCGGCTATGGGGAGAGCGTCTCTTAATGCGCCGCACGCGCCGGCTAGAGGAAGAAGAAGACACACGTCATCCGCAGGTCAGCGCCAAGTCATCACACGTCATCGGCCACGTCATCAACCACCGAGCTGATTGCCCGTCTGGACATCAACCACGTCATCCGACACATGGTGCCACGTCATCAACGTGTCAGCCATGTGTGCGCCAGCTGTCGCCACGTCACTGGCACCTGTGCCTACACACTTGGTTGTTGCCTGAACCGGTTCGTATTTGTGGAGGCCGGTTCACCCGTTTCCAGACCGGTTTTGGACGAGGTTAAACCGGTTCCTATCATTTTCGGTCGTTTCGAATCCAACGGTGAGCTCCGTTTGTCCAAATTCGGCTTTGAAAATAAGGTACGAGATATATTGAGCATTTTATTATGGATAAATCATCGGACACCATGATTGCGCTCACTTCTACAAATTACAATATGAGGAAGCCTCGGATGGAGGATTTGCTAAATTTGAGGGATTTAGCCGATCCTTTTGATAATAATGGCGTGAAACCGGATAAAAAGATGGATGAAGAATGGACAAAAATGAATCTAAAAACCGTCGCACAAATTCGACAGTGGATAGATCATAGGGTGTTCCACCACGTGGCTCAAGAACAAAGTGCTTACACACTATGGGAGAAGCTTGGTAGCATGTATCAAGCCAAAACCGCCCGAAATAAGACGTTACTAATGAGGCGATTAGTAAACCACAAGTTACAAGGAGGTATTTCGGTGTCAAAACACACCAGTCAATTCCAGGATCTTGTGAATCAGTTGAGCACCACCGGATGGGTTCTCAAAGATGAAGAGAAGACGATACTACTCTTGAGCTCTCTACCTGACAGCTGGGAGACTCTTGTTGTCACTCTCAGCAATTCTGCTCCCAATGGCAAGGTGACTATGCAGATGGTCACAGATGCCCTTATGAATGAAGAAGCCCGAAGAAAAGAAGTCGGGACTGAACAATCATATGCCTTCGTGTCAGAAACCAGCAGACGAGGGGGGGCAGAAATGGAGGAAGAAGTCGAGGTCGAGGTAGAGGCCTAGGTCAAAACAGAGGAAATTCTCAAGTTCGCGGCAAATCACAAGAATGAGGTATGTCCTATGAAAACAATAATTTGTTTGAAGGATATTGAAATTATTGTAGTAATTATGGACACTAGAAAAGAGATTGTAGAAAGTTTCTACGAGAACAGCCACAGACGAGTCAAAATATTAGCTAAGAAGATGGTGCGACCATGGTTAGTTTGTCATAATCAGACGCGTTACTTGTTACACATGGTGAACAAGAATGTGTACGCGTAGGTACTCATGATGTTGAGTGGGTGATTGATACAGCCGCATCATTTCACGCCACTCCACACCAGAACTTATTCACATCTTATAAGTCCAGAGACTTTGGAGCTATGAAGATGGGAAACACCAGTTTCTCGAAGATTGTTGGCATTGGTGATGTGCACATAACAACCAATGTCGGATGCACACTTGTGTTGAAAGATGTTCGACACGTTCCGGATCTTAGATTGAATCTTATCCCCGGTACAGCTCTGGATCAGCAAGGATATCTTAACTTATTCAAAGAAGGTACGTGGAAGTTATCTAAAGGTTCCTTGGTTGTTGCAAGAGGCCATATTTGTGGTACTCTTTATAAAACTCATGCAAAGTTGTGTCATCCAAATCTCAATGCTGTTGAAGAAGAGATATCACCAAACTTGTGGCACCGGAGGTTAGACCACTTAGGCGTGAAGGGGTTGACAACTCTTGCAAAGAAGGAAGTCATTTCCATGGGCAAAGGTGTTGCCCTAGATCCATGTGAGAACTGTCTTTTTGGGAAACAACACGGGGTTTCATTCAGTTCTACCAGGAAGAACCATACAGAGTTACTCAGTCTTGTCCACTCTGATGTATGTGGACCCATTGAAGAGGTGTCACTTGGAGGATGCAGATACTTTGTGACATTCATTGATGATGCATCACGAAATGTATGGGCTTACTGTTTAAACAGTAAGGATCAAGTGTTTGAACGTTTCAAACTATTCCATGCCATGGTAGAAAGAGAACGGGGAAGAAGCTGAAGTGTCTACATTCAGACAATGGAGGAGAGTACACTTCCCGAGAGTTCTCATCATATTGCGCCGCATACCGAATCAGAAATGAGAAGACGGTTCCAAAAACTCCACAGCACAATGGTGTAGCCGAAAGAATGAATCGAACCATTGTGGAGAAAGTTCGTTGCATGTTGAGTATGGCTAAACTACCTAAACCATTCTGGGGTGAAGCTGTGCTAACAGCTTGTTATCTTATAAATAGGTCACCTTCTGTTCCTTTAAACTTTGAAGTGCCAGAGAAGAAATACTTCCTCCGGGTGAGAATACTTGAAACGTTTGAGAGCTTGAGCAAGTTTGCATGTGTGGTGAGTCGAATACTCCCTCATTTCCAGATTCCAAGGTTTGACCTAATAATGTTCGAGAATGTGTCATATGGCTAAGCTACTCTAATCTAGGAACTACCAAGAGAATTGAGAATTATGAGGGAAAATTTGTTAGATGGGACGATAATGAATTTGATGATAATGGGAGGCCTATATGAGAGTTAGGGTGTGTTTGGATGTGGAGTAGGAACAACCATAAAGAAAAGTAACGGGGAGGGTTACTGGGTGGACTTTAAGTATGAAGAGTTGCCTAGCTTCTGCTTTGTTTGTGGAGTTATTGGACATGCTGAAAGATTTTGTCCTCTAATTTATGAGACAGGGGACAAAGCCCTTGTTAAACGTTTTGGACCGTGGCTGCGTATGGGAGGGGGGAAGCCTCGCCCCTCTTTGGGCAATTAGTTGTTCTGTGGTTGGTTACTTACGGGAGCTAAGGAGGGGGAGCAAACAAACACACAACCAACAATAAAAAGGAGCAGGATCCGTGTCACACGGAGGAAGAGTCACAGGGATGAGTCATGGCGGTCACTAACGTTGGAGCAAAGAAGGATGAAGGTGGGCCCAGAGATCAAAAGAGGAGACGCACATGGGAGGAGCAAGAGCAAAGGCACCCATAGGTGGACGGAATGGCTCTTGACGTTCCAAAAAACGGGGAAGGGGCGGGCTTTAGGTTCTAGTCCAGCCTAAGCTCTTGAAGATTCGACTCTTCTTGCTGCTTGGTCAACACTTTTATATTGGTTTTTCTATTTTTATGTTTGGTTTTTTATTTGAACTACATATTGTTTGTTTGTGTTGTTCTTTCCTAGTGAAAAAACTCTTGAACTTAAGACAGGTGATGGGAAGTCTGGTTTGCCTGTCATTGACTCAGTTATGCGCAACTTAGGATCAACGAATCTGATTGCTTCTTTAGAAGTGACAGGTTTCAAGTCTAGTTCAAGGGCGGACGGCGGATAGTGAGCTTTTTGTCTTTTTATTGTATCTTGCTTACGTTCTGTTAATTTAATATAAACCACCTTGTTCCAAAAAAGGCGGCCTATTGGGGCAAGGTATAGTGTTTCAGATGTACCATAGATGCCTTATAAAAATGAAGATATTTGAAGTATCTATTTTGTCAAAATATTTTTGTGTGAACTTTTATTTTTATTTGTGATTATAAAAATATTTTTTAAAGTAAAAGATATTATATCACCCACATACATGCACAAATGGAAATGAAAAAAATATATATGTTCACTTTATTCTTGAAAGTTCAAATTCTATTTTATGAAATTAACAAATAAATGAAATAACAAATTAACCTTTAACAATAACAACAGATAATAAAAAGTGAAAACTCAAAACTAAAAAGAATTAAAGATCTAAAAGAAGGTTAAAACTCAAAAATGAAAACCTGTGAACTAGCAGAAGTGTTGATCACTGCTGAGTTGCTATTGAAACTGTATTTCTAATTTGCTCCATAATAATATTATTAAGGAAAAAGAATTTCCGAGCCCTCAAAAAATGATGAGGCTTGTTCTAGAGAACGAAATTGATGAATTTTTTAAAAGAATTCATGCTTTGGATGGGTTTTCAGGGTGGATATTATTATGATGTGTGTTACTACTGTTATGTCCAGTTTGATAAGGAGTATCTCGGCCCTATTATGACGGAAGAGGATTACACCAGGGGGCCCATTATCGCCATATTTATTTATTCTTGTGACAGAAGATTTAAGTGCAATGCTGAGACGGGCGGAACAGGTTGGGAATTTGCATGGTATCTCAGTTTGTCGGGGACAGATGGAGTATATTACACAGATGTATAGAATGTATATATTCATGAACTTTTTTCGAACTACTCACAAACAAATTAAATCTATAATATATACAGTTTTATCTATCTCGCATACTCATATAATTCTAGACATATTTATCTCTTCTCATTTTTATTTTATTTTTTGTTGTATTGTGCTTGCATTCTTTATGTAATATGTTTGATCCCTCTAAGTATTATATCAATTTTGAATCAAGTGATAATGTTTTGGTAAAAAACCGAAAAAAACGAAACTGAAACAAAACAAATTGAACCAATCAAACCGTGGTTCCAAGTTTTGGAGTGTAAAACCGAACCGAAACCGAAGCGAACTTTTTACTTTGATTCTATATTTGGTTTTAGGTCAAAACCGAATCGCAAGAACCGAACTCACTCCTACTACATATTATCATATAAAGTAAGAGATTAGGAGTGATCCTAGTTGACCAATGAATAGTGAAGGAGAGGGAGTAATTTTTTGCGAATAGCCTCTCACCTTTGTATCTTCAGACCGTACTTTTAACGGCTCGAGCTCTTTTCCCACTGAGATTTTGAATGAGCCGCAGGCATAGATAAAGATCCTTCTCTTCTTCCTTGGACTTCAAAAAAGGTAGCGCTTTCTCCGATTTCATTCTCGATCGTTTGATCCCTTAATCCCCACAGTTAATTATCGTTGTTGTTGATCTGTGGAAGTGGATGGTGGAGTTTAAGTTCTTAAATTTTTTCTCAATTTTAGTTTTGCTTTTTAAAATCTGTTTACAGTTTACGTGAAGTATGGAATCATGTTCCCAGAATCTTTTGTCATTAAGATTTAAGGCATTTCAATAAATTGATATGGTCTTTTTAGCATTCTGATTTGAAAGACATTTCAGGTCGGCCTTTTAATTTTTATGCAACGAGGTTCAATTCATGCTAGCCAAGCTCTGTGAATTCGTACTTGCCAAGAAAGTCCTGTTATAGTTATAAGTCTTATAACTTTGAAATTCTAGCTTAAATCATAAGGAAAGTTTCCGAAGTAAACATGTTTTGAAATTCCAAAATAATAAGAGTAACATGGTAATATTTCGAGGAGAAAAACATAACAGACATATTTTGGAATTCCAAAACCTATTTACTCCTATTTAGAATCAATTTCCCTGAATATCCTAAATCATTCAATTTGGTATGATGAGTTCCTAAAGATGAAACCGCAATTAAGTGCAACTTTCATATGTTATTGACACAATAATTTACATATCTCTTGATAGTCCGGGATTGATATGACTAATAATGTGAGTTTAAAAAAAAGAAACGTGCTGGGAATTCAGATTACCAGTGCTCAGATTACCAAAACTAATAATATAGTTTTGGCTGAATTTCAAATGGTATCATAAAGTGACGATAAAATGTATATTATGTACTCATGTAATTCAATTCAATAGCTGGACACCAAAATGCATTGATACTTCTAATTATAGCATCATTTATGTTAACTACTGGTTGCTTAATTTGTTTTAGTTTGGTGTGTTTAAATCCAATTCCATATGATATAATGAAGCCTGACTTTTAAATTTGGCCTAGTATGGTCTTTTTAATCGTGATACAGTTTGGTCTATTTAGATTTGGTGTAGTTCTTTTACGTCTTGTCCTATTTAATTTGTGTTTAATTGGTTACATTTTGGCCATTGGGTAAAACTGCTCAGTGACGGTTGTTAATTGTGTTTGTAACATTTTTGTCCTACAAATATAAATTATAATTTTTACAATGAGTAGTTAATTAGATTATTTCAAGGAAAAACAGATCCATTTTTCTTTTATGATTTTTTTTTCTTTTGTATAATCTCATTACATGATTATATACTACTCCATACATCCCTCAATTAAATTTCCAGTTTGAAATCATGGAATTTTAGCGAGCATCACTTTTTATTGACTTTTCAAATATGTCTTTCTTCAAAAGTAAGATAGAGAAAATTAATATGTACTCCGAAGTAATTACGTATATACTTTACATAGGGGTTAAAGAGTATTTTACCATCCAAATAGTACCACAATGAGAAGCGATTTAATGAGAATTTAATTGCATGCGGGATAGACGGAGTTTAACACACCGGTTCATCTATTTTGGATTTTGTAGGAGTTTCAACTATCAAGCTCATGGAAAATTGGAACTTGAATATAGTTAACTAAGAGTTTTAATGAGCTGGTGTTTGAACAATCTTTTCTAGTTGCAAATTTGCGTGGTAGTATAGAACCAAGACATTGGAATATTACAATGAAACATATCCTTTCATTTTCTTGCCTTTTTATTTGTTGCTTTATCAAACCTATATTTTTTTCCCATATGAGGTGACACAAGATGGCAGAAGCATTTGACTTTAAACCAATCATCTTTGACAATGGGTCAAGACTGACCAAGGTACTCATAGAGGTTTTCCTTTTGGTACAAGTAGTTATTTCCAATAACAATGGTTCAATTTCAAGGCTGGATTTGCTGGAGATGATGTTCCACCAATTGTTTTCCCAAGCATTGCTGGTAGGCCCCGTCATACAGCTGTGATGATCGGTGCTGGTCAACATGATGTATATGTAGGAGATGAAGCTAAGTGTAGGAAAGGAATGTTAATGTTGAGTTACCCAACAGAGCATGGTATTGTTACCAAATGGGATGCCATGGAGACATTGTGGCATCACACATTTTATAATTCCCTTTGTGTTGCTCCAGAAGAGCACCCCGTGCTCCTAACCGAACCCCCTCTGAACCCGAAGGCTAATCGTGAAAAAATGACAGAGATCATGTTTGAGACATTCCATACCCCTGCCATGTATGTTGCTATTCAGGCTGTTCTTGCCATGTATGTAAGTGGCCGTACCACTGGTAAGCATTTCCTATTGCTGATTGTCCTGATTCTTGAACTGCTTCCAATTTATAAGATCGAGTTTTCAGTTGGCTTAAACTTTAAAGAAACTTATGTTGGATGAATCTTATGTTAGTATATTCGTGTACACTCATTGGTAACCCTTGTCCGGGTATAGTTTTGGATTCGGGTGATGGCGCCACTTGCACAGTTCCCATCTACGAAGGCTATGCTCTTCCACATGCCATCTTTTGTATTGGTTTGGCCAGTTGTGATTTGACAGATCATTTGATGAATCTTTTCATGAAGAGAAGTGACGCTTACACATATGGCATTCGTATGTTGGAGAACTGCACTCATTCGCATCATTATAATATATCATTTGGATAGTAATGAAGTATAGTATCATTGTGAAACATGTATAAGTATTAGTTCATTTCAAACGGATAAAAACACTACTAAAATTATGAAACACTCATGGCGCTCAATATTAAGAGCCCGTTTGATATCCAAGGTTTTTTGCTTTCGAGTCAGATATTTTTACAAAAGATACTGAATTGATTAGTAATGAAACAAAGTAAGGTTGGAGGCATTTTATGGCTATATTGAATGAATAGGGAACCTTTAGTTTTTTCAATTTACTTTTTTCTATGATTTATCAAAAAATTAAAAGTTTAATTATTTCAAAAGTCAGGAGATTTAGTCAAGACATCATTTCTCCCATAATTTAGTTTCACCGAACAATGTTTAATATTATGAATTATTATGAAAGGTGTGTGCGGGTGAAATGGTCTTGCCTATGGTGCACCTAAAGCATTGCCTAACCACTATAGGGTGGCGAGAAACTTTTTGGGACATTAAGGAAAAGCTTGCTTACATAGCACATGACTTTGAGCAGGAGTTGGAGACCCGGAGACCTCAAAATCAAGCTCTAGGGCAGAAAAGAGCTATGAGCTTCCTAATGGGAGAAAGATCCCTATGGGTGCTGAGCTGTTTCGTTGTACTGAAGCGCTTTTCCAGCCTTCAATGATTGGAATGGATGCTGCAGGAATTCATGAGATCATGCAAAACTCTGTGGTGAAATGTGATGTTAATATGAGGAAGGAGCTTTATGGTAACATTGTACTTAGTGGTGGTAATACCATGTTCCCTGGCATTGCTGATAGAATGACCAAAGAAATGACTGCATTGGCCCCTAGCAACATGAAAATTAAGATGGTGGCACCACCTGACAGGCATTACAGTTCTTGGATTGGAGGCTCCATCTTAGCCTCTCTCAGTTCGTTCCAGCAGGTTTGAGTCTAACCCGAACCTCCTGAAAGAATACACCCACACGCTGACATGCTGCTTCATGTGATATTTGTTTATTTGATTTTTACATGAAATGCTCTGTTAGTATGGTAGTTGTGTTTTTCCTTGTGCAGATGTGGATTACAAGGGCAGAATACTATGAGTACGGTTCATCAATTGTGCACAGGAAGTGCTTCTAATTCTCCAATAAACATTGTTCCCCTTTACCTTCTCATTTTTTGTTCACATGGGGAAATGATATTTTCAATATTTTGTGTTCAACAAACCGAGAGGTCACATGTAAGTCGTGGGAGCGGCCTCTTGTCAAATGACAAGGGAACTATTGCCTCTTATACATGCTTGTGGTGGAGATTCTTTCTAAAAATCCCGAACCTTCTACTTGCGGGAACGCCTGTGTGCTGCAACAGGCTGCTCAGTTCTGATGATGAGTTACTTTTTTTGATAGCTTAGAAGTTGCAACTAGCTAGTATACGAATCTCCCTTTGGTTCTGTTTTCTTTGTTGGTGATCCATACCAGCTTTCTTACACATTTACCTTATACCCAACTTTTCTAGTGCATTTTGTTTCTCTTTTATGGTTGGTGGGAGAGGTTTCATCCAAATCATACTATGGTACTCATCAAATATCACTCTATCATTACAAATAATCTCAATCTGCTCGGTTGTGCACAAAAAGTGCTAATTTTCCAAGAACAATATTCTTTACCTTTCTGATTTTTTCAAATGGGCGGCAATTTAATATTTTTTGATGTTTAGAGAGCATTTGGTAATTTATATCTTTAGTTTATCAGTATTGTAGTTTTTTACCAAGCATGACACGTTTGATATTGCACACTGAATTATGTTTTATCATAATAATAAAGATTGGAATTACTTTTCTAACTAAATTGGTTGAAGCTACTATAAATGACAACTTTAGTTATTTTCATACTCCGTATAATTTCTTCTCTTTTTAAATATACTTTTCTATGATTCAAAAAATTCAGCCAATTCCCCCGTTTTAGTCATAATTTTCTCAATTTCAACGAATTTTATCCAATTCACCAATTTAAATGTTACGTAGTACCAAACAGCCTCTTAATGCCCTAATTTCTCCACTGCCCCGTTTTAATTTCTCCTTGCTGATGATTCATACCAGTTGTCCGTTTTTCATGCACATGTCAATTTTAAGCTGTGTCTCTTTCCCTTTAGGGTTTGGTGCGATAGATTTAATAAATAGATAGATAAAAACGTAATGAATCAAATTTATTTTGAAGTTTAGTTCTTACTTTTTTTTAGAGAGATATTAGTAAGTAATATGGATTGGGAAGATCGCAAATGAGTTTACAGGAAGAAAAACAACTCTCAATTTTTCAAGTTCAGTAATTAAAGATAGATAAAATAACTCGAAAATAGTTTATCTACTTCGTCTTTTCTATCACGTACACCTCATTTTTCTGGAGATGAAATTCTAACTCGCACTATATATGTTCCAAAAGGTTGAATCCCTAACTTCCAAGGACCCTCCACATCCCGATTTGACAAGACATTGAGATTATAAGTCATGATGATTCAATCAGCTCATGGTATATGATAGTTCTGATGGGGATCGATCCAAACACCAACGCCTCCATATGAAAATTAGGAGGATGATTTAGAAATTAAATAATGTAAATAATAATTTTGAACCCTGGACATGATAGGAGTAGTGTGCTTATCATTCTTCACTCCCTCTTTCGCAACAAATAATGAGAGTTTACATTAAAAACTAAATTTAACAAGTACTATCGTATATAGAATGTGTACTTTTTGCCCCATGTGTCAATCCACCATTCTTTGGATCAAGAAGAAACACATGAAATGTCTTTTGCACATTGAGGATGTTTTTAGTTGGACCGTAATTTGTCCCATACTAGACTAGTCCTGATCAAACCAGACCAGACCAGCAAATTACAGTTCAAGTAAAAACATCATGAATCTCCTTTTACTCGCATCCACTTCAATAAATGATGTAAAAGGAGTATCTAAAGGAACACACGAATTGAAATGTGTTCTCCCTCAGCGGCTCAGCCCCTCTTAAACTTACATTATTATTTTTACAAAATCTATCGTCTTAGAATCTAGACTTGGGGGCAAATTTAATTGTTTGATGAAAACAAATATACCCAAATAATCCGATACGAATTCATTAAGATAAGAACTACAGAGTAAATCTTTAGCTGATGATCCCATTTGAATATTTATCTCAAACTGACTAAATAAGTTAGCGTACCAATATAATGCATGTTAAGGACAAATAACATGCACTTATATTTTAGAAAACTCTGAAAACAAATGCTGCTTTTTACTTCTTTTTTAGGTCATAAGGAGCGGTAGATTTTGCCAACAAATGCCTGGTGTTCAAAATTACTTCATCATATTGTTATTATGATGGTGTAAAGTACTATCGTTTGATCGGACAGTTGAAGAAATATAACTTTTTCAACAACAAAAAAACTAACAAAATTGACTAAACAATATACTTCCTCAGTTCTTAAATAAGTGCAACAGTCAACATTTCACACTTGCCGAGGCACAACTTTGACCATTAATATATATAATTCTCTATTAGTAAAAAATTTAAAAAAATCAGTTTTTGAAAATTTACAATGCGACAAATTTAATAATATATTTTTCAAAAAAATATATTAATACATCAATAAATAAAATGTAGTCAAAGTAGAACATGTGAATAGTGTAAAATTTCACATGTTGCACTTATTTAAGAACGAAGGTAGTATAAATTATTATATCCATTCTATACATGTATTTTTGCAATTCTTTTTTAAATTTGGGTGCTCACATGAACAAATTTAATACCATCCGCCACTGGCCTTAAGAAAACAACAATACCATTGCAGTATTATTGAAAGCTTATCGTACAAAAAAGGATAACACAACATCCTTGAAAATCCCTAGCACCAGCCGTACAATTAACTGTGATGATGTAAATTACACTTTAATCACAATCTTGCAGATAGTGAGTGAGGTCATGGATCAGGTACTTGCAGAGATCTTATGTATTTATACATACTATCCTCTCATCTTAGTTGTCAGGATTCAAACTGAAGACTTACCCCTTGTGATACTTTCTATCTATCTGAGTAAGCCCATCGGCTGAAAGCCTACAATGCAAGTGTATGTGCAACTGTGCAACTAATGCTCAACTCGACACTTATTGAAAAAACATTGAGTTCACATCCAAAATTACGAAAAAGATCAAAATTAATTAACTCATTACAAGTGAAATTCTAGTTTTCGTCACATAGCTTAATAAAGTGTCAACGGAACAACTGATATGATAATTAAAAGAATAAATAAGCCTCTAAACTTGTGCGTTATTCCTCACCTTCATAACCTTACTATAGAGACTAAAGTGGAAGAGTAAAATCTCCATTTTACAATAGTAATTAATAACACTATAGGTTTACATATAAGAGTAAAAATAATGTGAAATTCTAAAATATGAATATACCATATTTTTACTAGAGGATTTTTTCTTAAATAAAATTTAAATTAAAGTACTGAACAAATATATGACTAAAATTACTACAAGTACATCTTCATGGTCACTACAAAGTAATTTAGAACATCATCATGATCACTAATGTTTTTACTATCCTCCGTTCTTTAAAAATTGTAACAGTTTCACTTTTACGTTTGTCAACATACAACTTTGATTATATTTAACTACATATTAGTAAACATTATAAAAAGTTAATACTTTGACAATTTACATTAGTATACATTTAATAACATTTTATACATAATAATTTGATTATATATATTATTTGAAAATTATAGTCAAAGTTAGGTATGTGAATAGTGCAAAAACTCAATGTAGCAACTTTTAAAGAGTGTATGACATATATGATATATTATTAGTCTCTAAACATAAAGTCACATTTTTTCCATTACTTTTATTTTAGTAATATATTTGTCATTTTCCATTTGTACTAAACCGAAGTAAGTTATTACCATGCTGAAATTATATATATTGTCATATTTTATCATTACAACATATTAGCATGACAATATTAATGTTATAGTTGGAAGTATTTCGCAGACATGATAACTGCTACTTCTTTTTAGATCATAAGAGAACTACTTTTTTTACATGGAGTAAAATCACATTACTCATATTTTTAAATTTAACGTTATATTTTGGGAAAACTGTCAAATAGGTCCTCGAACTTTCATAAAAAAGTCAATTAAGTCCTTCTATATGAGACTCTGTCCGGTCGTCGCGATTTGGGGGGGTTCCCGGTGGAATTTTTTGATGAAATTTTTTGAGCATCTTATTCATCAAGTCTAGTTTACTCATACCAAATTTCAGCTAAAAATTTAATCGGGAGCGCATTCAAATTAATTCGAGAACGCAAAAATGCGCAGTTATGTTCAGGAATTAATTTGAATGTGTTCCTGATTGAATTTTTAGCTGAAATTTGGTATGCGTAAACTAGACTTGGTGAATAAGATGCTCAAAAAAATTCATCAAAAAATTCCACCGGGAACTGCCTCAAATCGCGACGGCCGGACAGAACCTCCTATAGAAGGACTTAATTGACCTTTTTATGAAAGTTCGAGGACCTATTTGACAGTTTTCCCTTATATTTTTAAAAGATAACATACTACGTATATATTACTAACAAAGTATCATCAGATAAAAATATGACTAGTTATGTTATTTTGAAAAAAAAATATTAACCAATCAGTGTGTATGAGTAACTGGACAATAGTTACTATAGTGTATCTTAGAGTGACAAATAACTGATAGATGATGAACCATTAAGAACTAGTCACTTGATATGTAACTACTTTGGTTTTTTTTTTTAAATAGGTCATATTTTTTCTTTAAATTTAGTTTATTAATATTCATGGAAATTCTTATTTTAGGAATTTCCCTACATTTTATTTATAATTGTATTAATGGATTATATTATGAAAAACAGTATTAATTTTCTCTCATTTTAAACTTTCCATATGTAACTTTTTTACAATTTTCGCTAATCGCTATAATCAATTAAATACTACGTACTCCCTCCGTCCCGCTAAGATTGTCCCATTTTACCTTTTCGGTCCGTCCCACTAAGATTGTCTCATTCCTTATTTGGTAAAGTTTGTGTGGTTCTAAATCATTCCTACTTTATTCTTACTTTATCAATTCAATATCAACCACATAAACCCACTTTTATTAATAACTGTGCCACCTTCTCTTGTCCCAAACTTAGGGGGACGGAGGTAGTATATTTTAAATGCTTTAGCTAAACAAAAATGCACCAAATAATTCTTCAATGTCCGGTCTCTCTCCTAGATTGTCACTCATATTAAGGCAGGAACGTGTAATTTTCAATACTCCATTTTAAGTTGTGTGAACATACCTTAAAATGGTTGAAAAACGTTCATTTGGAAATGGAGTAGCGAGCGATCGTTCATTATCTAGGGAATTGAGGCATCATAAAAGACATATCCCATCCAGAAAAGTAAGCCATATGGGTCTTCATCCAACACATAAAGGTACTTACTGCTTCTCCTGCTAATCTCACTCACTCTGTACTTATTATAATTAATTCCTAATAATTTCAACTTACTCCAACAAAAAATCATAAATCCCATGAATTATTACTGCTCAAGTGCCCAA